AAAGAATAGATGGAATATTAAATGCTTTCAGAAAATGAGGGGGAAAGTGCACTAGCTTTTAAAGTGAAGCAGCATGTATCGTTTCTCCTTCCATTGGCTGTTTATCCAATATCAATACAACACTTTAGGAGCCAAATTACTAAACAAGCTGCCAATTAGGCTTGCAGTCAGCTGGATAGATTAGTGGCTAAGAGAGGCAGATACAAGATTTTCATCTCTTGAGCCAATTACGCAAGTGAATTACCATCCACAATGCTCCTTGGAAGATTTGAGGTAGAAAGACTGACTCTGCTGTGATAGACATAAGTGAGATCCAGGGTAGGGGGTAAGGGTTAGCAGGCCATGTATTGCAAAAATTACCCAAGCAAAAAGAGATCCTTCTAGGAAAGGATTTAAAGGATTTAAGGCTGCTGGGAGCGATAGAAGAGGAAATAATAGTTGTGGTATGCTCTGCAAAGGCATCGCTGTTCTGCTCACAAGTCTTAATCATATAAAAGAAAGATGAAAGGCCAAGACTATATTTATGTACAGTGTCATTTTCTCAGAACTGTTTAAAAACCAGTTTTCTTCACATCAAAAATAGTTCGGTGGCCAGAGATGAAATTGCTTCAGTATGCCTTCATTTGTTTCTTACAACCTGGGGGGAGGGGGGGACAAACCACGAACATTTTCTTAAATAAGGGTTATTTAAGAGATTGAACCTAGCTGTATTCTGATTTTATTCACCCCAATATAAACCAGACATGCTTGATGTTAATCTTATCCAGCAATTGGACCATACAAATAAATATTGTAACAGTAGTGGTTTATGGGGTCACAGTTCCTTTATTATTCCATAATAAATAACTTAATTGGTGAGCTTTTAATTTTTTCAGAACCATTTTGTAAATAAAATGGATCTGTCAGATCGAAACTGTGCATAGGCTCATTCATTTCCTGCTTGAAGATGTTGTACACTGGTGTAACATTGTTTTTTAAATATGAAGCAAATTTAAAACCTGAACTTTTGCAAGCTGTTGTATCCAAAAATGATTAAACAGATGTGGAGCCTGCAGCAGCATTAGACCTCTGATCTGATTTTAGCTTACAGATGGAATTAAATTAATTCATGGCAATCACTGTAAAATCAAGGGTATGGCACTGAATGCTAGTGTACTGTTTAACCAGGACATACCTGTTTCAACATCTGTTAAGAAAAATTACATACCTTTATTTTTCATTGAAACCTGCCTTTAATGCCATCATAAATATCATACCAAAATTAAACAAATGTGATGAGTTTTTTGTTTTTCCCTTCCCAGCTTTGCCTCTTTCTACTCGTAGGTTCCATATTCTGTGTATGTAAGGTCACATGTATAATACGTGTAGACCTTGAAGTGTGTCTATTCATATACACAAAGGTTTGAGGCTTGATCTGTGTTTTTTTTTTTTTTTATTTCAGTTGGCAGTGTTGCGAAGAGAAGGAACATAACTGAGGCGATCTTACAGTGCTGTCTTTTCAAGCACATTACTGTTCCTCAGTGTTTTCTTCTCACTTGTGTAATGGCAGCCACTTCTACATGCAGACTACTCCTCTGGTAGATCAGGAACCCAGTTGTTACGGTTGCTAAAAACATTTTCAGTCTTTAGAAAGAAAAGGCTCTGCACAGGAGTTTCCTACAAATTATTAGTACAGAGACTTCCTCGTAACTCCTGGAACTCCACAAAGCCTCATACAGCAATAAAATTAGAAAAATGTATCCCCGTTTTTTCTTCTTAATCTGATATTGCATAGTTATTTTTTGTGGGAGGGTGCAATGGGTTGCTTTTGCTCTTGCTCTTGGGTGGGTCGAGACTGAACATGTCCCAGAGGTAGCACAGTCGTTTGCAAGGCCAATGTGCTTGGACCCTTCTCTCTAACAGGCCCTACTGGCTAGTCCAAGAAGTGCCATAGGCATGAATTAAAAACTGAACTTGAAGATGAATATTGCAAGGACAATTACTGCTTTTAATTAGAAAATAAAAGCCCAAAGCACCACAATGGGGGTCAGGGGAATAGCACACAGTGTAGCATGATTTTTACGAGCTCTCTCCTGTCATGCAGTCAATCAGCAATGCAAATTTTTTTTTTCCAATTGCTGATTGGTCGTGGAATGGAGGAAGAGGGCAATACCTCTATCCATGTTCTTCTGAGTCAAGTAAAATATGTTGCAGTACAGATAAATTTTTCAAATGATGGGTGAAAATTGCAGGAATATTAAAGACAGTATTTATGTAAAAACTGTCTGTACTGCAAGAGAGTGGCCTACATATATTAAATATTTTTCACAATTAAAATAAAAGCTATCCATATTCACCTCCTTTGCAAGAAGGAGTAATTAGTCAATTAGTAATATAGGCCAGTTGGGTGGGTTTTTGGTTTTGCCTTATTCTTGCTGCAATACAAAGCCTCCAAACACATTATCCTTTGGACAGTGTATGTTGTTTGATTGTTTGCCCAAAAGTGGGTTGTGAAGCCAAATTTATGGTGGTTTCTGCTTTTTTTTTTTTTTTTTTAATCTGGTGACTTTTAAGAAGAAAACAGAAATCTTCAGGGGATGTTTCAGTCTTCTAACAGGAGATAGAAAAGTATGTACAGTGGAAGGAAAAATAGTTATAGTATACATTCTAGAAGTACTTGTATGTCTTTAAAAACAAAAAGTATTCCAATTATCATGTCAATCCCAGAAGAAAAACATTGAGCTACCTCAAAAAATATTAAAAGTAGAAACATCAGTTTATTAAATAACACGTCAGGGTACAAATCTTCTATATATCCTTTTTGTGAGGTTCCTCTGGTTGTCTTGGGAATTGAAATTCATATAGAAAGGTACATCTGTTACAGGAAAAGGTCTGTGGGTTTTTCCCTCAAGTAGACTAACAAAAAAGCTGTTTACGTTGTCTCAGGCTATGCCTTGCGTACCATTCCAGCAGCATTGCTGTCTTTGCCCAAGCAGCATTATGAATGGTTTAGTATTTTCCAATTCTTAGATGTCATCAAATATACTCTTACCCTTGCTCTTTCCTGCTTGGCAGATCTGTTGGATCTTTCCTCCCTTTTAAGTTTCCCCCCTTAATTGTTCCACCAGACGGTCATTGGAACGATGCTCCATTTCTTACCATCGCTTGTTGTGAGAAGTGGACCAAAACATACTTCCAGGATTTTACCTGTGAGGTTTACTGGAACTTTTGGTGAACAGTGGCCTTTTTTCTTTGCCTTTTTTTGAGCTAGAAAGTATAACTAAGAAGGTTGCAAAGCCTGTGTTGTGTATGCCAGGCAGTGTCAGGGACTCGTCTGTATGAAAATTGCCTCTGCCTGTGGGGGCTTGAAATGAAAGGAAGTCTTGGACGTTGAATTTTGTGCTGGTCAGTTCAAGAGGAACCCTCTTGGGGACTGGAGGCTGCTGACTTAAAAGCCTTTATTTTAAGCCTAGTATTAAGCATAGCTTCAAACCAGTATTAAAGGATGCCTTCTCTCAATGCGTTTCCCTTTTTCTTTGACTTGGAAACTGAGATACTAGGAAGCTGTCTACCTTTTATGTAGCCAGCATTTTACTGAATATGAACAGATCTATAGTGGATAATGCCAGAGTACTGTGAATTCATCATCACAATCACCATGAGGTTTTTAATGTGCACCTCTCGTTTTGAACTTCGGTCTGTGTATGCGGTTTCCACTGCTTTGCCTTTTGTGTGTGTGTGTGTTAAATGAGGCTTTTCAGAAGTGCATATTCAACTTTTCTTGTGTTCTTGTTTAGTAAGTTAATATAATGACGAGCCAGCTTCTTGTCAATTGTAAATTCTTGATCGAAGACTTTATAGTCTCCAAAAACACAAAACCATAGTCTCCTTCTATGGTATTTGTCAAAAAGTAGCAGGCCAGAATAAATAGGTAGAGAGTTAAACAGATAATATTTGAAGCTGGGCACGTGGCGGGGGGGGCTGTGCTGTTGTCAGGGGGAGGGAGATGTTGAACAAAGCTGAAAACAAAATCCAGCTGCCTACATGCAACTGCTTGTGTTCAGAAACTTCAGCTTTTTTTAAAATTGCTCATATGGTGTAACTTGATAAGTTTTACTGCAGATTCTTGAAATAAATATCATTTGTATCCCTCATGCAAGACAGTTATATATGGGAAGGCTTATCTATGCATCATCTCCAAACTGTAGCTTGAAGAGTTTGGTTGATGAGGGGAAAAAACCAGCTTTGTTACTTAGCAATCTTTTCTTTTTTATGATGCATTCATGGTAGAAAAAAAAAGGTTATATTAACACTTGCAATCCTGATGATCTTTTCTGCAGTATGTGTGCAGCTTTTCTCAGAGATCTCGATGGTATGGAGAGAAAAGTGCAAACAACACTTAATGGTATTGAAAATACCAAAACTAAACTTGGATGTATCAAATCTCTCTTACAACATTCAGTAGAAGAGAAACTGAGTAAAGATAGAGCTGAATTTCAGACTAGTAGACCCCTTGTCTGTACTGTTTCTGTAGCAGCTGTAATTGTTTAATCAGAAATGATTTATTGTGTTTTGTTGAAAGAGATCTTGAGCATTGATAAATATTGCTAAGAATGGAAAGATGGTTGTGGTACTATGATGTACCTCAGCTTAGTAACTGTATAGGACAAGAAATTCAGGTAATCTTGCCGATGTATTGGTTGACTTGTGCAGGTGATGCATGTTCTTCGAGACTGATATAAAATCCACTGTATTGGAATGTAAAAGATCTGTGACAATATTTCTCATCCGTTAAAATTGAGTGAGTCTTTAGAAACATAAAAAAATAAAGCAAAGCGTAAGACTGTATTATTTAGAATCATATGCAATCAGGAGGTCAACATGTGCAAAGACAGCCTGTTCTAGCAACATATTAGATGAATTAGGAGAATAAGAAGGTTTAAAGCTTTAAGGGAGATTATCCTGCTCTTCTCCACATGGCAGGCAGTGCTGATTAATGCTGTGTGTTTCTTTAATCTCAGGGTTTGTAGGTGAAAACACCCAACCAATCCCAGAAAACAACATTGGAAACAGAATGCTTCAGAGTATGGGCTGGACCCCTGGCACGGGCCTTGGACCAGACGGCAAAGGGATAGCAGAGCCAATACGAGCCATCCAGAGACCAAAAGGACTCGGACTTGGATTTAGCTGACAGAAAGGCACTCTGGCTGCCCGATTGAAAAGAAAGCTCAAAATCAATTTTAAAAGACCAAAAAAAAAGAAAAAAAAGGCAAACATATTATTCGTTATGATCAGCAAATCCAGTTATTCTTCTCTCAAAGATCACTGAAGTCAATGTGCTTCACATTAGCTACACCAGCTGCAAGGTACAGCCACAGTGACAGAATCGGCATTCGAGTCTAACTTTATAATGGTGCTAAAGTGTACAAAAACTTCTACTTTTTTTTATTTTCTGTGGTCTTAAAGTTTGTATTAAGCATAAAATTCAGTATATTCGCTTTTTTTCATAAAAGCTTCTGACACAGCAGGTTTTAGTATATAAGGAAATTTTTTTTTGTAACTATAATTTCATCTCGAGAGTCTTGATAAGATTTGTCAAGGAAAATTGAACTTTTTACAGCTGTTGTGTTTTCCCCCTTTTCAGGCAAAGTTTCCAAACCTGGTATTTCTAGTGTTTAACAATATTTGAGGATAAGCTGTCATTTTGTCCATAAGATATACACGTTTCCCACTGGAAGGTGATATGATATGCAATTTTGTATAAGAGCATGAAAACTGCCTTTGTTGTCATAGGAATGAACACCATTATCACTGTCTTCCACATTCAAGCTCAAAAGTAAAGCTTTTATACTTGTTTTTACATTTACAGGATTATCTTTTTTCAGCAAACATTTCAAAAAGTTGAAGTTTATTCTGACTTTGGATTTCCCTTTATATTAATAATCCTCAGTGTTTCCACATTTAAGAATAGTTTGAGCTTTGAACCAGGAAATTGTATTTTAGAGATGACTGTCTTTCAGTGTTTATATTCTGGGTTTTGGCATATGTGAAACAATGCAGTGTTCAACATCGTGTTATCATTTGGTTTGTGATCGTGCTGGTGCCAATGAGCCACAACCTTTAAGGATCATGAACAGAAAAAGGGCAAGGAGAAGCAGGATTAGGGTGGAGGAAAGGAAGGAAAAAGATACTTTGATGGCATCTCGCAAATCTAAGCTAGCAATTTAAAATCAAGAGGGATCATTAAGTGTTTTAATCAGTATCCTAATGTATCTAATGTCAGCAGAAGCAATTTCATTAAGCACCAACCAATCAAGCTCCTAGGGTACTTATTGGTCTGCAGTATAAAACAAATTCCACTTTAAAATTAAATGATAGGGCTGAAGGAAACTGTTGTTCAGATGGACTAAGGAGAAAATCCTGCCCCCCCGTAGTAGCTGGCAATATTTACCCTGACGCAGAGGGAACAGGATTTGATTCTCCAGTCTTTTTTTCTTCAAGAGGAGGATCTCCCCCTTCCTCTGCACCCAAACTGCAGAGAGAAATACTTACTTCCAGATGCTTGCAAAGATATTTCCTTAGAATAAAAAGAGCACAGCTTCCTTCATGTGACTGTGAAATAGTCATGAATTTTAAGAAGTGTTTTTATTACTTTTATTTTTCTCACCCATTTTTCCAGAAAAATAATACTAGGAAAAGAAGTAGCAGCAGCATTATAGCATTGAATTTGCTTAAAGAAATGTTCATGCTTTCCACTGTGAGTGCTGTCGGTTTGGGAACATTGTTTCACCATACACATAGTGTAGAGTGAAAGGTTAGTACCTGATATTATTGTTTTTAATGATAGCTGAATGCACATGTTCTCTGAGTTTGAGGAGGACTATTTATTGCTGTTTAAATACATGATATGATCGTGTGGTTTTGCTTTTTGAAATTGTAAGAAATTTTAAACAGACTTGGGATTTATAATCAACACACATACTTTTTATTGGAAGGTTTTGCAGCATAGCATAATGTGAGCTTGCTACTTCAAATATCTCTTGCACAACTAAACTGAATTGAATACATTCCATATCCACAGAATTTCAGGGCCACATAATTGCAAAGGGCTGAAACCCTGGAATTCTGCAGCTAGTAGAGGTGCCCACTTGTATAAGTGTTATTTACAATAATGAATTTTTGTGGCATGCTCCCCCATTCTTTCAATGCAATGTGCTACTGAGAGCAAGTGAATTCTAAAGACCTCTCTGTATTGTACACCACAATCAAAAATTCCTTAAAATAACTTTCAATATGTGAATTGTGAAAGTGATTCTTTTAAGTTCTGGTTGTTCTAGCTCTATTTGCAAAACTGTGAAGGAATATTCATTCTCTGTTAAAGTTGCATTGTTGTGCTTTGGCTACAACACCCACGTATCTTGGGCTGGAAATTCTGAGTATGGCGCACATAACACTGGTTTGAAGTATTTCTGTGCAATTTACCATAGCAGTAGTTCCTCAAGAAATCAGTCTGCAGCTCCAAAAGTACTTGAAAATGTTTCCTGTTTTAAAAAGATCAGAGGGAAATAATGGGTACATATTGAGAGAAAACCTCTTTAGCCCATTCAACTCTTTATTCATCCATTCATACAGATACAGTGAAGCAGCCAACCTAGTAAACAACCATAATGGAAGAACTATTTAGTCTGATTGGAAATCTTACAACTTTTTGTTGTAAATCAGTCTATTAGTGAGAAACTGTTAGACATTAAGACTAGTGAAATTGATTTTGATATAGAGATAGATACACCCTGTCTGTTTTTCAGCAGGTATTCTCATAGATGCCACAGCTGACAGTCAACTTTATCGGTTAGAAGCTGTAGAACAAAGTGATTTGTTAAAATATTTTGATGTAGTGTTTTGAGATATTTTTATGTTGCAGTAAAATTCCCATTCTGACTTAAACTATAATTTCATTTCTGTTTTTTCCAAATCTGACAGGAGTGGTTTTAAAGATATTCCAGTAGTGTGATTTTGCACAGTTAAAACTAGCGTTAAGAAACAAAACAAAAATGCATTGTACTTTTTTTTTCTTTCTTAAGCCATTGCAATGTTAGATGGCTTTGAAACAAGTCAGAGTACTTGGGTTTGTTTCTTTTTTTTTCTTCAGGTCTTTCCCATACCTAAATTGCAATCGTACTGTGATACCTGCTATAAAGCTGGCTCACATTATTTTAAAATACATAGACAATTATTTTCAGATAGTAATTCCTACTGGCTGTGACACTGAAGGTTTTTTGCCTACATAAATAAATATGGGATCATCTTGTATCTAAAAGCTACCTTCCATCACTCACCAGATTCTTTCCATCTAGGTGTTTGATTAATCAGTAGCTCAGCTATTACCATAATATTCTGCCCATGCAGAGTGTTTAGTGAAGAGAAGAGACATTATGTATTTTCAGCATTGCGTTTTGCTACATGTTCCACAGTGTCTCCAAGTTCTGTGAATTGCGCCATTAACTGTTAATAAAAGAAACCCATGAGCAGTATCTTATTTTTAAATAAATATTTGTCAAAGTCAGAGAAGCATTATCAATATGCTTATTTTAACAAGTTTGTTCCTGCATTTGTCTTTCTGCAATTAGGTCAATAATGGGTGTAGAATGGCCGTAAATAGCTAAATAATATGTATAGAATGCTTTGCTTTAATAACACAAATGCAAGATGAAATAAAATAAATAGACTCTGTTCTTCATGGGTTTTGTATGTTCTTTTCTTTAAACTGCCCTTTTCAATAGCGTTATTATTACACAGGTGAGTACAAAAACATGCTGTTTCTGAAAACGTAATTAAGGTTGCTAATATCTTGTAGCAAGCAGATGCATATTATGCTAAAGCTATTATATTACATATAGTATTATAGAATCATAGAATCATTAAGGTTGGAAAAGCCCCTTAAGATCATCGAGTCCAACCGTTAACCTATAGGTACCTTTTTATTAGTACTTCTTTTCTAGGTTGTTATTATCAGCTGAAAAGGTTACACCACGACATCAGGAAATGCCTTGTTTAAGATGTTTGCAGTACTTCTGTTATCATATTCTTCTAAGACGTTTAAATACAAGTTCTCTTCACTCTCTAAGTGTGTGTATACTTTGATAATTGTGACAGGACTTTGTGCTTTCTCTCCAAACAGTTCTCCAAAGCTGTTCCTCCAAGGAGAACTCACACAACCTTTGTTTCCCCTTCCCTCTCCCCACGCTCCCAGGGCAGTTTCAGTAAAGGCATATCAGAAATGGGGTTCCCTTCCCTCTTACTCTAAAGTCAAGAGACTTTTTAGACTTTCATCCCTAGCAGAGTTTTCAGGAGCAGTGGCATAGTTAGCACACAGCAATTGCATACCCAAGTTACCCACAATAGAGTCCCATACCTAAGGGCAGTGTGTGTGTTCAGTCTGAAGAAACACAGAATTATTTCTTTATCAACCTGTAGTCCGGCTGTAAAGCTAATGTAAAATGTTAAAAGAGAAAATGGCATTTTTAAAGACTTTTATATGTTTTTGCTTTGAATTCTCCCTGGAAAAGGTTTTATTGTGGTCAAGTGTGGTTTGTTTGGTTTTTTTTTTTTTTAACAGGTACAGTATTTAAGATTGGGATTTTTATTTTTAATGACCTCTTTATACCAGAAAAAGGCTTGGAGTAGGTGCAGCAATTTCAGCATGGATGTTCTAATTGTCTCAAGGCGGGGGGTGGGGTATGTGCTAAAAAAACTGTGTAAAAACTTTACCAGCATAGATTGATATAAGCTGTATCTACTATCTACTAAGCTACAAGAGAGTTTGTCCAGTAAAACTGTCAACAAACTTTTTAATGTAAGTGTGCTTTAAGTTATTGTGGAAAACTTTACAAAAGCAATGAAAGTTTCATGATCGATGTAGTAGGTTACTCTAGTGGAAATGTTTGGGATTTTTATGATTCTCTTCTCCTGTCCTACAACAAAACAGATGTTGGAGGTATTTTAACCATGATGGTATATTGCTTGTATTTGAATATTCAATCTTAAAGTAAAAGGCTGAAAATCACTGAGATTCTGTAAACTTGATCTCCTGCATCTATGAGAACTGTGGTTATTAACAGCTATGAAAAGTGGTTTGAGCTAATATGAGGAATTCCACGAATAGCAAGTTATGATTTTGGCCTGACTGCTTATAGCATTGCTATGATGAATTTAAGTATTGGAGAGTCTGACTTGGGAAACTGTGAATATAAGTTGTTAGTCTCTGAGGAATATATGTTTTGTTGTAATATATTTACACTGATTAAATATGTGAGCTTATTAAAATGATATTATCTTTCAGAATATTTGGTAATAGATATGCTCAGTTTAATTGTGCCTTGTCCTTAGTGTTGTCTTTCATCCTTAATATTTGTCCATTTTTTTGAAAAAGTGTAACCCTATATATCTTTTAAGTGATTATACCCAATGTTTTCTCTCTTAAAGTGTAATCGCATGTATGTGCTAAGTGATGCCACTCAAGATTTTCTATCATTTCTACTACTCTGGTGAAGTTGTTTTTCAGTACCTCCCTAGGCCAGTTTTCTGAATGGCCTACTGTTGCCTTCATCAGTTGTTTTAAGAGTTTTTGCCACTGAAAACTTGGAATTTCTTTAGCCTGGTCAGGCTGTTGTGTTGGCTCCTCTCTTTCCTGTGGCCCCAAGCTGATGAAGACTGGAAGATATGTAATGCTTTCTGCACATAAATATCTTCAGTGACTTCGAGATGTGAAGTACTACATGGGTCTAAAAATAAGCATGCATGCAAGTGTTTGCAGATTGGGACCTTAACTTCCTTCCCTGTAAAAGATACAGGTCCTAAATTTTCCATGGCATCAGAGTTCCCGCAGACCCCTGGCGTCAGCTGCCCCTTTGCTGCATCGTGCTGGCCCACCTTCCACCTTGAGATTCTTTGGAGCACCTGTTTGGCTGCTATAATGTGCAGGTTGGCTTGTGGTTAATGTCAGTCT